CCTGCAGGCTCGCAGTAGTAACAGAGCAAAGTGAAAGTGAAACTTAACTGTCTGCTGAGCCCCCGCCCCGCACCAAAATGGGCGAGACAGAAGCAGAAGAAGGTTTTTTAAAGAGACAGAGGACAATTTCAAGGCGTTTAGAAGAGGAAGTGATGAGAAGATAAGTTTATTTTCTATTTAAACATAAAAACAGCATTTTAATAACAGCTAAAGGTGACATAGATACTTTATTATGGTATAGTATTTAAATATATGCCTGAGAAACACATAATATTGGCCCTTTAACTAATCATATTGAACGAGCACACTCTGATTGAAATGACCATAACATTAGCCACTCAAAGCAGATTGTACATCACTAAATCCCATAAAAATAGATACTTTTGCAAAAGAAGTTATCAGAACATACCCTAGTTCTCCTAGGAATAATACAGTATGTGATGCAAAAATCAATAGGAAACAATAAATTTTCTTTTAACTATTTGATACTATACTGCACAAAACATCGTAGTCCCAACATGGGTCCCACAACATGGATGAACAAACTTGACAATGATGATAAACAACCACGACCTCACTGCTGAAGTTTTTTGCATGCTCAAGACCACCATCACTCATAATGAGGTGCCCTCTGGCACAGTCCTTCATTTGTAACTAAAGACCACCGAGGTTTTGCAAAGACCATCCATGTTTTGGCTTATTTTTTTATAATGAAGTGAGGTTCTCTTCTTGCAAAAAAGGGAGTTAAAAAAAACAGGAATCAGACGAAACCCTAAGGTCCCCCTCCATACCACACAGACCCACCCATAGACTCTACAGTCACATCATACTGTATGTTGTTAGTTTTCAGTACAAAACAATACAATAAATACCTGAATAAGCATTCTCTAACAATGTGTCTTAAGGAAAAAAAAGATGCTTCTATTTATTTATTTTTAAAACCTTTGAAGAAATGGTGTTTTAAAAATTAGCTGTAGGTTTTTGGCCAAGATTAATCCAAACTGGGGTTCTCAAGTCCTGGTTTGACAACACGTGTTTATAACACTGGGAACAGAGCCAGCTGAAAGAGTCAGGCTTAGGATATGTAGATAAGAGGGGTGCAACAATACATGTACCCATATCGAACCGTTATCGAACAGTGCTTTAGGTTCAACACACATTTGTATCGAACAATACAGATTTATAAAATGTATTTTATCAACTTGTCTTCTGAAGATGCTCTGTGTTGAAGGATCAGTGGATCTGTGTTCGACTACTCCACCTAGGCTGCATTTTTGAGCGCAGATCCACTGAGAAACTTGCTGTTTCAGCAACATTTAATTAAAAAACTGTACTTTTGAGGTTAAACAAATGTTCAGAATTAATATAAATAAATTACAAGTTAAAAGGGGCATGGACATTTTGCTTTTTTGTATCGAAAAAATATCGAACCGAGAGACTAAAGTATCGAACCGAACCGAACCGTGAATTTTCTGTGTCGTTGCACCCCAGGTAGATAAAGAACTCAAATTATATTTCCCAGTTCAACATCATGTGTAAAGCAGGAAGAAAAACTGGATTTGGTGAGTAAAAATGCTGATAAAAATAATATAATCATCTAAAGATTTTTGTGGTTTGGTTTTACCTTGCCCTTGTTGCGGGTACTGGACATCCTGCTCTTTAGAAAGCTGAAGGTCCTAATAACTTTGTACTTCTCCGACTCTGTCTTGGTTGGAATGCTACATTTTTCCAACTCTTCCTCTTCGATTCTGTAAAAAAAAGAATACAAATTAATCCCATAATGTTTATTGGACTTAAAAAATATGATTCTTATCAGGCAGACATACAGCTGTCAAAGGTTTTTGTTCCTTCTTGTTTCAGATGAACAAGACAACAAAACAAAGCGATAGATTAGTGGAGGTGCAGGAGATTAATCAAACATCACATCAACTCTTAATTGCACATACTGGTTAGTTCAAGAATGTGAGGATTAACAAGAAGTTGTTTCTGGTGAAAAACATGAGAGCAAATGAATGAATTTCAGTTCATTTAGTAAAAGATGGTGTTCCTTCTCTTCAAGCTGAAAACAAATTAGTTGAAGCAGAACAGTTAATAATTAGAAAAATGCACACATTTTATAGCCATGAAACATATTTCACATTTAACTGGATTGCTGTCAGGTAGTAAACATGGGTTAGTTTCCTTGTGCTTGATGGCTGGAGAACACATACTCTTTGAGAAACTCAGACAGGGTGAGATGTTGAAGGGACTCTGCCAGCTCCATGCTGCTCTCATTGTCAGCAGACTGGGCTCGTTTACGGAACCTGACCTCCCTGGAAAACACAGTGCATATACAACGACAAACACACTGATGCTTGAGAGGCTGGAGTTCAGAGAGATTATACCTAACTGTAAACATACTGAAAGTATGCCAATATTCTCTATTTAAAATACTGAATTTGTTAAACAGACTTAGTTATCTGGGGCAGTGTTTTTCAACCCAAAAAGGCACACTGCATGTTTTACACCAGGGGTGGGCAATCGTGGTCCTGGAGGGCCGCAGCCCTACATGTTTTACATGTTTCTCTGCTCCAACACACCTGATTCAGTCACTGAACTACCTCTTCCAAGTTCTGCAGTACAGAGGGCCGAAACTGACATAATTAGAAATAAAAGCAGAAATAGATAAATTAACCTTTAAATAAATAAATACATTTAAAATGCAC